GTTGGTCAAAAATAAAACTGAGGTTCCTGACAGATGTAGAAGGCACAAGGACTGTTGTCCCAAGGGTAACGGGTAGAAAAGTGGGCTTTGGGTGAAGAAATCTGGAATGGAATACTATGCATTCAGTTTTGTTTTCATTCAGTTTAAGTTTGTTTAGAAACATCCTATGTTTGATTTTAAAAACTGTCTTCTCAATTTGTGATTCAAAATTAGGATCAAAAGAAACATACAGCTGAATATCATCAGCATACAGATGAAATTTAATTCCATTATTACGGATGATCTTGGCAACGAAGAAATGTATAAAGTAAAAAGTAAATGTCATAAGACCGAACCTTGAGGAACTCCATAAGGAAACGATTTGATCGGTGACAAAAAAAAATGATTTCAAAAAAAATGAAATGGGAAAGCAATATACTAAATAATATTTTAACTTTCCATTATTTTCAAAAAAAGTACTAACATTACTCTTGGCGCATCATCAGTCGCCAAGTGTAAATTTATTACCGGTATTTAGTTAAATTATATATAATTCATTATTTAACCTATATTTTTTCAAATATTACAAATCATTATTTATATAATAATAACTTATTATTTTTTAATATTTCTAAATAACGAAAATTCGAGAATATAAAATCTGTCTCTTATACACATCTAGATGTGTATAAGAGACAGTCTTTACTGTTACATTATATTATATTTTACATATATATATATATATATAATATATATATATAATATATATATATATTATATATATATATGATATATATATGATATATATATATATAATATATATATTATTTATATATATATATATATATATATAATATGCAAAAGTTGCTTGCTTTTTGGCTTAAGAATTATTATTATTATTATTATTATTATTGTGGTATTTTTAAGATGTTATTTGCTGTCTGCTGTTACATAGATAAATGTGTATGTATATATGTATGTGTGTGTTTTTTTTTTTCATTTCAGGTGCCGTTGATGCTTGCAACCCTAACCCATGTGGTCCAGGCACGTGCCAGTCACTTTACGGAACCGCTGTGTGTACCTGTCCCGCCGGATACTCGGGAACATTATGTGACATTTCGTCAGGTTAGTTAAGTGAATTAATAACAATGGTGTACAATATTATTAATTCACTTAATGATTTTTGTTATATTTTATCTCATATGTATCATTCAAGAAACCATCAAAGTGTGTTGAGACTTCAACAATAAATGCTTTCTTTGAATCATTGTTTACAATAATTATATCCGGTATTCTATGAAGTGTTATACTAAAGTCAGTCTCGGTTCCAAACATATAACCAGATATAATTGTTTTATTATAAATTGTACTATTTGGTACAAGCAATTTATCCACTTCTGATTGAACTAACCTAACAATCATATCATTTCAAGCAATATATACGGTAGGTTTCTAAATTCCATACATCTATTCATTACGTGGGACACCGTGTCAAATGGGTTGTAACAAAGGCTACAACTTTTCTCATGAATATTTGGGTAATACAAGTTCAGAAGTGATCCACATTCAATTAACTGCATCCTAGCTTTAAAAATAAACTGTACCAATCCATCTTTCAAATTATTGTTATTTAAAAAAGTTGCAGAAATGTTGTGATCAACACCATATGTAATATACAGAATATCCTTCCTTGAGGGTTTAAATTACATGGTCTTTTAACTCTGTTATCAATTTGTCTTGTTTTATGTAAATTGCTACTTGGAGATGTTAACTCCATAAATATATTATCCCTTGATAATATATCATGTCTTCTCATATACACAATTCATTTAGCTCCACCCATATTGATTTAGGCCAGTTCACCTTACCCTTCTTAATAACTTGTCCCTTATTATCAACGTATAATTACCGAAAGTGGGTATACTTTCCTCCTCTCATACTCAGCCTTCCTTTTATTCATAATGTACCTTAAATGATTCTCTTGCACTTAACTTGGTCTGAGCATCGTCGGAGTTCAAACACAGAAGCATAAACGATATCTTCTTCGATATATAATTGGTTGTTAGGGGATTCAAGACCCCAAACCACCTTTAAGGATAAACATGATATCGCGGTTACGATAGGTTTAAGTTAAATCATCGTCGGATGTACTCAACATTATCGTTCTCCAACTCTTTAAAACTCTTAATTGTAATCATCATGTTACATATAGGCCCTATAGAAATTAACCTTAGAGATTTTATGTATTTACTTTGGGAACACACGCATTTGGAACGGCGGCACACACAAGAGTGGTGCGTTCAGCAGCTTCAGCTTAAACTACAAAAATATAAAAATAAACTAAAGGTGGAGCATACTTCTACACAATCATTGATAAAATATGTATATAAACACTGAATAGACTGCACATACAAAATAAGACTACAAATTTAAAAAATATACCATTGAAAATTAAAGCTATGGAGTAATTATAATTTTTATACAGGCATACTCCTAAACAAATATACAATACAGTATACTCTCTGTATATTTATAAGGGGTCACTCCCAAATATAAGCACTTTTAAAAGTGCACAAACATTATGCTGGGGGGAGGGGTAGACCAATTTATATTAAACCTTACACTCATACCTGTAGAATTAATAAATTCTTTTGTTTTAGTGGAAATCATTTTAATTTTACCCTCAATACTTAAAATCATAACTATACATCATATAAGGCGTATAATGAATCATTCAAGAATGATTTGTCGTTCTGTGCTTCACTGTCATTGTTGTTATTGTATGCTCTTTTGTTCAATTATTTGTACTTTCTTATGACGTTTTCACGATTACTCAAATACACGCCTGTTGACATATCACAGCCTGTTTACAAGACTCTCAGCATTGTGCATTAATAATTATAATGATATTGGTGACGGTGATGTTAATGGTTGTAATGATGATGATGATAATCATAATAATTATGATAATAATGATAATAATAATAACAATATTATTATTGTTAATGAAATGACATTGGCCTACCTTGTATTTGTGAGACTGTATCGACGGCTATTGTGGGAAAAATTCCTTACTTTTATGTCAAAGTGGCAACAGTGGTACTCCAGAAATTTGCCGACGGGGGTACAATAATCCGGGCAGGAGTTCCAAGCCAAGGGGCGCTAGAATCATGGTCAAAGGGGAATTGTCATTTATATTCAACGACAAAAAACAATGTATTGTATATAGTGAGAACTCCAAATTGTAATGCGGAAGTCACCCATTGACGTCGTTATATATAGCTAAACATTTTATAGAATGGGAACATATGTCTGCCCCTACAAAATAATTATAAAGAATATATATAGGCCTATTAGTTCAGACTGTTACATTCGACATGCAGCAGCCTACACCTGACATCTGATCAATACATAAAATACTTAAATGGCGATTACAATATAAATGTAGCATGGAATCTACATACGTAACATTTCTGGGTACATGCGCCAAAGACCCGACTACCGGGAAAGGTCACTACCAAGGCCCACCCCCACCGCTCCGCTGGAACCACCATTATGTAGCAATGCTCGGTATGTCGATTTTAAAGGGAAAAAAAACATTTTCAATTCACTGTAATCATAATGAGAAAAATGTGTACAGTTGTTTGCATTCGCCTATTCAGAGGACAACATGTAACGCCTTTTTACTGGTGCTTAATAGTCACTGATGTATTTTTAATGCACAGAGTATTTTTCGCACTGTACTCATAATATGGTGGAAAACTCATCTCACTTGGAAATTACATTACATAGGGCCTGATTTTGTTTAATCAATTTTTCTCATGGGTATCTTTTTTACCTTCACATCAAACAGTAAGTAAACTTGCCACGTACAGGATGGAAAGATGCTTTATAAACCAAGTCCCTTTATGAGGCTTAGGGAGTGGAGTTGTTTTTAGTCGTGAGAAAAAGTCCTGCTGAGACAGGAATTGAACGCATGACCTTGGAATCATAATGCAGGCAACTTAACCACTCCATATCCTTTATTTTCATATTATTAAACAGTACTCTATTGAAATACAACATTGGTTATGAATTAAAGAAATGTTATTAATAATGACAATGATGAAGATAATGCGGATATTCATGTAATGGTGATAATGATAATAAGGGGAATTGTAGTGGTACTGAATACTGAATGCTTGTTTGTCAATCATGAAAATGTATTTTCAAGACTAACAGAATGTAGTTTTTATGAAATAGAAGTGAATCGTAAAGAAAGGATAAAACATTTCCAATGCAGTATTGACTATGTTGAGGAAGGTGTGTTCAAGTGTTTGCACTCACCGTACCCATATGGAGTACAAAATGTAACGCCTGTTTACCATTCAAATATTAGGCTGAATAGTCACTGATACTGCTGTTCTTGTTTTTGTTCTTGTTACCAGAACTATAAAAGCGTCCAGCGTCGCCACTTTTGAACGGACTTGCAGGCAATTTTGTGATTTCCAACAAACGTTCATCGCCCTTTTTAAAGTTCCCCTTACACCTACAAAATGAAACAGAGGTTTCATCAAGGGCTGTACATTACTGCCATTACCACTAATGTGCACGTAGTGCATGGATGGCGCGGTCTGTTAAGGACATATGTTCTTAGCAAATTAAGAGTGTGAGTTGGAATCGCGTCTTGGTATTCATTTTTTTTTTTTTTTTCAATCTTAAGAAATTCTTTTTTTTTTTCAATTTTAAGATATTTTAATTTTGTACAAATAAACATTCTAATTATTTAAAAATTTCTATCTTATTGGCTCTTCCAAAAAACACAATATAGGCCTAATAAATTGCGCCTGTACCAGATAGGAACGCGCGGACGACCGGTGAGCAGTCATCGCTTTTGTTAATTTACGGAGTTTGTTGGCTTCGTATTGTGCTCATAATATTGTTTACATATCTTTTTTAATCAATTTTACTCATGGATATCATTTATGTTCATACCATTTAGCAGTAAAATATATTACCTTATCCCTGTCTCTTATACACATCTAGATGTGTATAAGAGACAGATATTAGGCTGAATAGTCACTGATACTGCTGTTCTTGTTTTTGTTCTTGTTACCAGAACCAGAACTATAAAAGCGTCCAGCGTCGCCACTTTTGAACGGACTTGCAGGCAATTTTGTGATTTCCAACAAACGTTCATCGCCCTTTTTAAAGTTCCCCTTACACCTACAAAACGAAACAGAGGTTTCATCAAGGCTGTACATTACTGCCATTACCACTAATGTGCACGTAGTGTATGGATGGCGCGGTCTGTTAAGGACATGTGTTCTTAGCAAATTAAGAGTGTGAGTTGGAATCGCGTCTTGGTATTCATTTTTTTTTTCAATCTTAAGAAATTCTTTTTTTTTTTCCAATTTTAAGATATTTTAATTTTGTACAAATAAATATTCTAATTATTTAAAAATTTCTATCTTATTGGCTCTTCCAAAAAACACAATATAGGCCTAATAAATTGCGCCTGTACCAGATATTTAAGCGTGGAGGAACGCGGACGACCGGTGAGCAGTCATCGCTTTTGTTAATTTACGGAGTTTGTTGGCTTCGTATTGTGCTCATAATATTGTTTACATATCTTTTTTAATCAATTTTACTCATGGATATCATTTATGTTCATACCATTTAGCAGTAAAATATATTAGAATACAACAGTGTTGATGAGTTCAAAGAAAGTTGAGGATGATGATTATGATGCTGATATGATTAAGATAATGATAATGTTGATGGTCCTCGTCACAGTGATGGTGAGGGTAATCGTAGTGGTACTAAATACTGCATGCTTATTTTGTCAATCATCGCCATAAAGACAATAGAAATGTATCTTGAAGACTGGCAGAATGTAGTATATAATAAATATATGAACTAAATATGCGTAGAAAAAGAAATAAATGGCATGATAAAATTTGTACAAATTTGGGACTTTGTAACTCTAAAACATTGTGTAAAAATAGAATAAAATTTGGAAATTATATACTGTTTCAAATGAAAGAATACACTTCTATTTTTTATTTTATTCAATTCCTATGTAAGCAATCACAAACAAAGAAACATGGGAACACAAAACGAAAAGCTCTATCTAAAAGTGTGGATTGCCAAAGGTGTAAAATACTATTATAGTGGCTCTACATTACTGCACATAATCCAAATAGCACAAGTACATTAACAAACCACTTATTTAAAGTTAAAATAATTTTTGTTTAAATATTTGATAAAATAACGAATTAACAATTAAACATTCCAAATTGCTCGAACAACTTGTGCTGTGCTAAAAATGTTTCCAATAGGAATTCGTTCCAATAAATGAGGAAAAATGCAATACTTATATGAATTTTTTCATGAATGTTTAAACACCACAGAATAATTATACATAGACTTAAAATGTAATTATTTATGGTTTAATGTTTTAAAAAAATAATTAAGAACTGTCTCAAATGCATTAAAACGGTTTTAAAACTTTAAACTGTTAAGACCGTTGCGCATTTGGGCAATTGTTGTGTTGCACTTAATAATAATCGTCGCACTTCGTAATAACTGTCGCAACTTTGTAATAGAGTCTACTGAACTTTGTAATAACTGTCGCACTTTGTTATTAAATCTGTCAACTTTGTAATAACTGAGCTGTCGCACTTCGTAATAACTGTCTGTCACACTTTGTAAAACAAAAAATGAGCTGTTACACTATGTAATAAACTCTATCGCACTAAAAGATAAAACGCCATCCATGTTCTAGGCCTATTCTATAAATTTTTAATAACTTCTCCTTCTCCTCAGGGGATTGAATTTGATTTAGTTCTCCCCTGTTTCGTATTATATCATCTTTACGTCGATGTGATGGCTCAAATCTCACTAGACCCCACCCCTGGATCTAGTGGGATTGGAGGGTGTCGGGTCCAAATCCAGAAGGGTCCCAATTTGATATTTTTCGTATTTCGATTTTATATATAATATACTTTTCTCAATTATAATTATCCTTAATTAAATTGCCTACTCATTGTATACACTACTACACCATGGTATTTCCTGTTAATAGATACATTACAGTGACTGTGATATCCTTATCCTGTTACCAGGACAACTGTTCTTGTTACTAACCACACATATCCGCCTCCACCTGACCTCCACCGGAATTAGAAAGGTCAATTGTGGCGTGACAACATAACTCAGTTGGTAGAGTATCCGAACGGTAATCGGATGGTCTTCGGTTCGAATCCCGATGGGGACATACTTTATCATCTACCGTATATATATATATATATATATATGTATATATATGTATGTATATATGTATATATATATATATATATATTTATATTTATATATATTGATCATAACCGTCGAACTGTATATTGATGGTTTGTTTATATTTCCAGCTACTGATACGTGTTTGCCGAACCCTTGCATGAATTCTGGCACATGTTTTACGTCCGAAAATTTGGATTCCTATATTTGTCTGTGTGAGTCCGGATATTCTGGTGATAATTGTGAAAATGGTGAGTCTATTCGTAAAGCTCTGTCTAGAATATCAAATTTTATAACGCAAAATACTACATCGGACCCACAGATATATCGTCCAAAACCCGATACACAAATCACAAATACACATTCAATAACAACAATCAACAATTAACCCATTTGTATTTGCCTATACAGTACCCACCTGTTATAGAATTCATAATTACAAAAGCCTAACCTGGTATTCAGCTACTGTCCTACCCTTAAAATAACGTATAGCTTAAATGTATTTTATCTTTATAATAGACCTTAGTTAGTTCTTGAATGTTGTAAAACCTCTAATAGAATCCCCATGGGATTGCTCTCGAGAAGCCCATATCGAAAAGAATCCCACCCCTCTTATATTTGCAAAAGTAATCTTTATAGTTACCAACCGTCTCGAATTTTGCGGGACGGTCCCGCATTTTAATGTGATTTTGGATGAAACATGCATTTTGCAGAAACACAAGCGTGATCATAAATTTGTCACGCATTTAGCACAAGTGTATGCGTGGTAACGAATTATTACGAATTCATGGGAAAATATATTTAAAATGAGAAGAAACTGCTTTTTATTAAAAATATAAAAACGGTCATGCAGTAGGCCTAGGCCTAACTTGAGTCATTAGAGAGCATTCGTTATCTCGTTCGAGTATCAGTTCACCGAGAAAATTGCTCTTTTTCAACCAAAATAACTCAGTCAACCACGCACTTAGTAAAATGAGGCGCGTGCGATCTTGTGCGTTAATTGTCACAACAAACCATCGATTATGTGACTCAAACCCGAGCTCCACCGGGGCTCCGCCCCTCTCCCCCGCCCTGGTGTAGTCACGCATTTCAAATCTCTCAGGTTGGTAAATATGAATCTTGAAAAGTAGCCCATGGGCTTCTTATAATATTATATATAGTATGGGCTGTTTTATATTATGTTAATTTGTTATATATAATGATAACCGTAATTATTAATAATATTACATAATATTATCATTAGTATATAGTAGTATATAATATTGCTTTTACTATAATCATCATCATCATTATTATTTCTATTATTAATGATGGTGGTACTTTACTTATTTCTAATGTTTTCATATCTTTATAGCACCATGTAGTAGCTCTCCATGCTTAAACGGTGGAACTTGTGAAACTGTTTCCAATGGTTACACGTGCATGTGCGTTTCTGGATACCAAGGCAGCCGATGTGATACCGGTATGTATATAAATAAATGGATGATAATGACTGGCTGAATAGCAACAAGATGTTCGTATCTAAGTCTGTTAAGTCAATTGTATATATATATATAT